TAGACTAAGCTAAATCCAAAAACGCGAGGGAATTCCTGGAAGCTTGGTATTCAGACAAGTCAGCCATCAACAGGCACATAGAGATAAGCAACATTTACAAACCATTCAAAAGAGACAATAAAAAGCTAAAAAAGAAAACAAAAAGACCAGAATACCTCATCGTCAGCAATCAACACCCAGATAACCAGGGATTAACACCAGGGTTAATACCAGACAAATAATCAAGCAGTAAACAATGGCCTAATCAAGGAACTACCAAGGAGAAAACCATACCCCCACCAACACTGACAGGGCAAGCTACTGTATATAAACAGAGAGCAAACCCCACTCCCTTTTAGCACTGAAGATTTTATCTAGTTGGTAAACATCTGCAAGAAAACAACCAAACTCAAAGAACACCAAGGACTCCACAAGTAATTTAAAGTCCAAAATAGTCCCTGCTTGAGCTTTCAAATCTCTCGACTAGTTTTGAGATACTCTGTATGGGATCCCCAAAGTGTCCTTTGAGTTTACACATGGAGTCCTGATATTTGTCCACTGCTGAACTGTTCCCCTCAATGAACGATATTGCCCAGTTAGCTGCTGCTTCCTTCAGCAAGCTTAGCATAAAAGTCACTTTGGTGCAATCAGTGGGAAACTCCACCAGCCTGCCTGCCATAAACATTTCACATTGACTGACAAACATCTGGAATTGATCCTGGTCCCCTCCGAACTCCCCCACAAGCTCCCATGGGAATGCAGGAGCATTGGCTGAGCCACCATCAGTTGTGCTGCAAGGGGTTGAAGCAAATTCTGCCTTTGTTGCATTAGCTATATCATGGCGTTCTGCAAATTAGTCACCTGTGTATCTACCTGCTGCTGATGGAACAATGCGGCTGTCAGATGCTCAGCAGATAGCAGGGTTCCTTGAGGGTCAGAAGCCATTCCTGAAATTCCTCTCATTGGAAGAGAGTATGAGACTTGTGGTCAACCTCATAAGTAGACCAGACAGGAAACACAACATGAACTAATTCTACTTTATTGTAAGACTATGTTAACAGAATCTTGCAAGTCTGAACATATAAATCTCCCGCTGTGTCTTTTTTACCACCTGAAAGTTAAGGTAGATTCTTTCTAAGTTTCTTTCTCTGCCCATTACTCAGTTGCGGGCTTCTCCCCCTCTTTTCTGATCATTCCCTAAGCAGCATCTCTCCCCTCGTCTTCCAAGGTCATTCTCACATTTTATTACACCTCTGAGAATCAGTTGCTCATTTATTTATAAGAACAAGGAGCCAGCAGTTTGTTCTGATACCTTATCTCATTGTCCAATAAAATTGCTAGCGTGATACATAAAACATATAGCAGAGAAATAGAGAGATGGTAATGTGACGGTGCTTGTCATATTAGTCTGTATATAGACATGAATCTGGGTATAGGAGATGACATCTCTGAGTGGTGACTATCAACATCAGTAAATAATCACCTCTGGTTGCAACTACTAGAAATTGACTTAAAACCCAAGAATCTTTTCCCTCTTTCCCTTTATTTTTAAAACATTCTAAAAATAACATGAATGTGTATATTATCAAGTAAAAAGACATTACATAAAGAAAAAAAACATTTAGGTAACATTTATTTACAGCTTTCCTTTGTCCTTTTTAATAATTAATCACTTTGATCACTTCTGATCAAAATACCCACTTGACTAATAACAGCAAAATAAGATTCCAAATCTATTTTAGGAGCCAATGTCTGCTGGCACTTGTAATGAACAAGAAATGAATAAGCAGTCCTTGATATTGATCAAGATTTTTTTCCTCAAGTTATTCATATTTTATTAATAAGAACCTTCCAGAAAGTCTCTTAATTATGTATATGCCTAACTCTTTTAAGGAGTCCTGGTATTTCAACAGATAGTAAATACACTTGTCCTTTCTTTACAACTAGAATTTAGGATAATGTTTTGCAGTACATCTTAGCATCATAAAACTCTGGCACATTCATTTTTCTATCATTTGTTACTTCTTCTATTTTCCTAAAACTCCCATTTTTAAAGTTGTAACTTGGTCTTCCTTAAGGAAGCAGGTGTTTTTCACAATCCCATGCCCATTCTGATTCCCATTCTGAATTACACCTTATAGGAGCTTTCTCTTCAATTCCCTGGTCTATAACCCACTGATTGAAGAAGAATATCTATAAACTATAACTTTAAATTGCTTATTTCTGAAATATTTTTCTGTACCTTGTGTACATTCTGTACCTATTATTCACATTTTTGTTCTTTAATTTGCTTACATCTTCACTTGGGCTAAAAGCAGCATGGCCTGAAGAGCAGGATGATTGGTTTATATTAAAGCTGGATTCAAAAGACATTAATGTTATAACGTATAGAAGACTTGATGTATGCTTGAAATTCATCATGCTTTATCCAGTTTCCTAAGTGTTTCTCTTTGCCATAATAAAGATGATGCTAGTTGAAGTTGCCATGCTTCCTGTGGGCATTCCAGAGGCATACATATTCAGCAACATATATTAGAAGATAGGATATATACATATATAAGGGGCAAGAGCTCAAGGTGGCATACATAGGAGGCTCCTCCTCCTATTTTTCCCAACAACAATCCTGTCAGTAGGTTAGGCGGAAAGAGAGTGACTGGCCCAAAGTCAGCCAGTGAGCTTCCATGACTGAGGGTAGACTAGAACCTGGGTCTCCCAGCTCCTAGTCCAACACCTTAACCACTGCACCATGCTGAGAATACATGAGGATACACAACACACACCCATACAGTATATAACATTTTGTATGTGAGAAAAGTAGAAAGTGTTGAAGTTCACATGCTCTTTCACAACCTACAGCATCAGTGTAGTAGGCTCTAGTTGGTGCTGGTTTTACTTAAAAGTGCATTAATTATCTGCAGTTGTCTCCATATCTTAATGCAGCTTAAGTATTAACTGTCTTAGTTCCTTTGTCCATCCATGTAACAGATTCTGAAACTACTGTATCTCAGCTAGAAGTAGAACTGCATTCTTGGAACACATTTTACTCAATACTGTGTGAAAGACTTGTCATAAAAGCAAGCCACAGGGGAAGGAGGGGTGTGTGTGTGTGTCATCTGGACAACAGATAGGAATGCACGACATGTTTTTCTTTAGTGAGATACACATCACACTGATAGGGTATTAAGCTTCTACGATTCCCTCTTAAGAATCATAGACATTATAACTGGTTAAGATTGCAATTCTGTGTATGCTTACTCAAAATAAGAGCAAGTTTTGTTTATATATTTCTGTATCACCTACTATCAAAGTTTCATGATGATTTACAATAAAAACATGACATCAAGATTTATTAAATATTAACTGAATAATTTTACTAAATGCAGAAGAACAAACCTCTGAATAAACATGCTTAAAAATGCTTGTGAACTAGGATTGTGAGAACTATAGCATTGTCATCATAGGAAATTTGTGTTTCTTACCAAATGAAGGTCAATACTAAATCATCTTATACTTTTCTTGCTAGTATAGAATTGATTGAATTTCTAAATGTATATTCCTAATGGGTTGCTAGAGATGCATTTTCTGAACTGCATCTGGGAATAGAGGATGTTGTTCTGATTTCAACTCGTATATTTTATTTAGATTATCTTTAACAGCACTGCATCTGGGGCTTGAAATAGGACACAGAAGCTTTAGAATAAGAAAACAAATTAATCCTCCTTGCTCCTGATGTACTTTCAGGGGTCTGAGAGTATATCATAGTGCATCAAAAAAAAATATGGAAGAATGTTCTGATTATACGTGGAACATGTTTGCAGCTGTTTTGTTAGCTAGCCATTTAACGCTAGTTAAAAGGTAGTTCCTCCCAAAACAAGAGAACTACAAATAGACACAGATTCATCCTTGCTAAATCAATAATTCTCTGGACTACTGCCAAAGAATAAATGTCATATTCTCTTCCAAACCCTAATATTAATAATAATAATAATTTATCAAACTTGTATACCTCCTGACTCTCAGATGACCATGGGCAGCTTACAACAATCAAACAAAGAAATTACAATAATATCAATAAAAATAAAAAAAATAGAGCTAAACTATGGCAAGTGTGATGAAGCAAGGGGTCTCATTTCCCTCGTCAAAGGCCTAGATGAAGAGTGAGGTCTTCATGGCTCTTCTGAAACAGTAGAATGAGGGCCATGTGGATCTGGGGAGAACCTTGTTGTGGAGGGCAGGTGCTGTTACAGAGAAGGCATGCTTCTGGGGTCCTGAGATGTAACATTGTTTAATTGAAGGAACCAGGAGGGCACCAACCCTGCAGGATTGAATTGGCTAGGTAGATTAGCTGGGGAGATAGGCAGTCCCTCAAGTAACCAGGTCTTATGCCATGTAGGGCTTTATAGATAACAACCAGCATCTTGAATCACATCCCGAAACAAATTATGATTTGCCATTATTGACTGAATCCTTATTTAAGTTGTATAGGTTCTCCCATGAAAAATGTCCAGAAGCAGTGTGTATATATCAGCTATTTCTACATGTGGTACATAGACAAGTGACTGCCAGTTTAGTCTAGTAGCTAAAATGTTGAATTAAGAGAGTGATGACTTGTGTTCTAATCCTGCCATAAACACAGAAGCTGACTAGGTGTCTTTGGGCCAGTTACTTTCTCTCAGCCCTAGGAAGAAAGCAATGGCAAACCACTTACAGAATGATGCCTAGAAAACCAGATGGACTTATCCATGTAGTCACCAAGAATCAAGATTGACTTGAAGCAAATTTTGCCTACTATATAGAATACTAGATAAAACTGGTCAGTTTGAAGAGTGAAAGGCCTGGAAGGAGGTTAAAAAAGTTGGAAAGGAATTTTAGTCTTTGACTGTATGGTACTCCTCATATATTTTGAACGACTGATTCAGTTACAGATGTTTTGTTTTTATAGTTTCTCTCTACACTTTCTTACATGCAGAGGTCACAACTGAGGGTGAAGAAGAATTTTGTACATTAAGTGAAAGTTATTTATAAGACAGTGTCCAAATAACATTTTTGTAAAAATAACAAAAAGGCTTGGCACTTAAATTCCTCTGTTCCCTCCCATATACTGTACATAATATTCTTTTTATCAGGACTATGCACTGGGTATCTAGTGAAATAGACTGTGGTTTGTGAAAGTCTATTTATTCATAAAAGAATGAGTTTTTAAGGTGCCATAAAACACTTGCTCTTTCTGCAAGAGATTGATGTGGTTACTGCCTAGGGTTTTTACAAGTGTACTGAACAAATAATATGCACTGTTAAATATATCTCTATTTCTATCTTAACCTCAGTCTCTTTCTATAACTATATCAATATACAGTAGATAGAAATAGACATAGCTCTGTTCTAGATATAAATAGATCTAATCTCTAAGTATATAGAATGAGCACAAGAGAGAATTAAAAATAGTTTGTACCTTGTAAACAGAATGAAGAAAAATAGTAACTGTATGAGTTTGATAATCTGAGTAATCACCCTCTGATTATTCAAATCAGGAATCTGATTTTAAGGGATAGGGAAATTTTGAGGGGGATGGGAGCAGCACTTTATTTATTTATTAAACAATTTCTATCTTGTCTCAATCTTCAGTGAATAGCAAAAAAATAACATTACATAAGCTAATACAGCCAACTGCAATTAATATAGTCAATTTCCTATGATAATCTATGATGGGTGGTATTTTCATTTTTTGAAGGGGGACCATTGAGGCCAATGGTTCAATATATTCTCACTGGAAGAGGCAAGCTTAAAATGTTTAGGAGCCAAATGGATATGTTAAATTTTGTTCTACATATGAACCAAAACTAGGAAAAATCATATTACTGATTTTAGCAGTATGATCCGGAGGTGCTCTTTGAACTACAAAAATATTTAGAAATATTTCCAATTGATTTGTAAAATGTATCTCAGGTTATAGGATTGATTTGTATTTTATTTTAGGATGGATTTGGCTTCAGGACAACTTTGGCTTCTCCAGCATTTGATGTCCTGATTTGGAGAAGAGAGAATAAAGACTGTGGTTTCCAGAAGAGGGCACCCTTGTTCTTGATAGTCCTCCAGCCAAGCACAGATGTCTTGTGTTTTGTCACTGAATTGCTGAGTTCCTGGGTCATTTGCTTCAGAAAGATAAAGCAGTACTAATGCATAAAATAATCTACAATTCCGTTAATGCTGTTCCATAGAATATACTGTGTAGTTGATGGTGAGATGAAAGAATTTGTGGCAGAGGTGTGAATTAAAAACTACTTTTAAAGTCATAGAATGAGAAATAACTTTTCTTCCTGAAGCAGGTGGCGTCAGACATGGAATCAGGGACTTTGTACCCAATAGAGGTATGGAGGGTTCAGGCATTCATGTGGCATAAACATGAGGAAGCATTTACAACATTTAAACTATTGGTGTAATAGAATACCTTTAAGTAGGTGTGGCAGCATTTGGACAAAGTTTCTCTACATAAGGCATGAATAGATGCCAAGGGGCAAAAAAGAATCTAGTTTCATAATGTTCTTTGATACTTTTATCTCAGCATCGGTTTATCCATGTCAGGACAATCACATGTTCATTTGTACTTGCATGCAATTATAGGGTGTGTTTAGCAGTTTGAGTCTTGGCAGTTCTCCGAGGAGAAATGCCACTGCTGTTTCCCTTCTGCTGATATTAAGATATGTTGCCTGGTTTCTAAAGATAGTACTCAGTAGGGCTGGGTGCACACTTCAAATATGATTTGAAAAAAGTGCTTTGGACCTTGCAGGAGTGCAGCATCTCTCCTATTCATTAAAACAGTGTTTCTCAACCTTGGCAGCTTTAAGGATTTTAGAACACACAGGCTAGCTGGGGAGTTCTGGGAGTTGAAATTCACACAGCTTAAAGCTGCCAAAGTTGAGAAGCACTGCCTTAAAGCATCCCTTCTTCTTTTTCCCCCCAGATTTCCTCACAAGCCTGAAAAAACAGCGCAGCTCCTATAAAAGTTCTGTTAACTGAATGGTTTCCTTAAAGTAGCTGCAAGTTTTATTCAGGTTTACATAGAAGCCCTGAAAAAAAAGCAAAAGAATCCAGAGTTTTCCTGAAGTCTGCATAGCACCTACTATCACCTAACCCTTGAAATCTGCTGCCTCTTCTTATACTACATGAGGAAAATACAGACCTTTATGGCTTACTTCTCTTGTTCGGCATATCAATCAGACTGATAAAATTCTTCAGAACTAAAGTATTTGTATGCTACTTTGTGACTTTTTAGATGGTTAACAAAAATACTGTTTTCTGATTTCTGGCATATTGTTTTTGGAAATTGGTTCAGTATACTAATATATTTGCTGATTTCCTTGCTCATATTCCTGTGCTGTACTCAAGTGGCTACAATATGGTGAAAATGCTTTTTTGTAGTTGTGTTGTTTTGGAAAAATAACTGCAAATATTGTATAATAACACTGTGCTTTAAAAATTTGATTGTTTTTCTTGATTATTATATCAAATGTTGGATCATTGTTTATATAAAAAACCCAAGCTTAGATGAGGTTCCTAGTAAATTAAAGGTTAATCATTATTCTGCAGCATTTCAGCTTACACATGGGTCACAGTATGACTTAATATTTAGTGCTTATCTTCATACCACAGCTACTGCTTTAAAATCTAAGATAACACAGTTATCTCTAATGATCCTGGACCTGCCAGCAATAGTTTGAGAATACAGAGCAACTTAGTTTTCCATTCATATTAATTTCTCATGCTCTTACAAAAAAAAAATTACAAAGAAAAAAAATATGAACATCCTAGAAAATGATTAAAAAACAATGGTTCTTGTGAGTTCTGTATGTATGTATGAATGAGGGTGGCTTAAAAATGTAGAAAAACAAAACAAGCTGGATTATTTATTGTAGTTTATGACCCATATTGTGTCCATATGCAGTTGGAACCTGCATACTAGATCAAAATAAATTTCAGCAGGTTAATACTTTAAAATATTTTAATGTTTGTATACCCATAAAACAGCAAATTATAGAATGGTTTTAAAAGCCAAATCTGCTCATGATGCATTTTTTGCTTTGTCTATGAATAGCATCAGGTTTAGAATAGAATAAGATTTGTTTCTTACTCATCGTTTATTTATTAGCAGGTTGCATTTTAGAACACACATCTTTGAAACCTTTTACATATCCAGTGCCTGAGACAAGGTTTCTACATGCTGGTGTGAATGTGTATAAATTTAAGATCAAATATGGCAACACAATTAGGTAAGTGTGATAGTTCTATTAAACTAACATTCTTCGCATTTGTTAGTAGACACAAAGCAGAAATAAAATATTGATTCAAAACCTAAAAAAGATAGAGAACTGTCAAGTTCAAGAATTATATTTGAAATTATAAGATGCAAATTTAGGGCTGCTATACCATAAGGAAGAGAATATGTATAACTGGAAATCTTTGATTCAAATTTTGTTTCTGAACTCCGTCATGTTAGGTAAATTATCCTCTCAATCACATTCCTTCATCTGCAATATGGGGTAATAACATTCGCTTGCCTCATAGGATGCTGTAAGAGTTATTTAAATAATATGTGTGGAAATATTCAGCAATAGGGCTATCATACCTGTGCTGCAAAAATCCAGATGCCATTAGCAAGAAATATAGAAAACTATAACTTTATAACCCAGATCTAGTATCCTACTCAGCCAGCGCTCTACTTAATATTTTTAATTCTGAATTTTCAGCATGTTTTGTATCTGGCCAACCATTTCTTCATCCAAAATTTAGACAGAATAAGTAATTGGCTAATGTAATTCAAAAAGAGAAAACTTCTAGTCACTTCCTTGAGTTTATGCTGGAGAAAAAAGGATGGATGGATGCATAAATAGCCATATATCTGTAGCTACTGTGTTTTATAAACTGTGTTTTATTGCTGTATCCAAAGAGAACTGTGACAATGCAACAGATGAATCTTTAGTCTGAACTAATGACAATTTGAATACTTGTTCAATTTCTGTTGATTTCTGTAGTCATCTTCTATTACATTTGTTTCATAGCATTAATACTGATCTTGATGAAAGCATTGTCAGTAAGGAACTACAGGTGAGATATGAAACAAATATTTGTTTATCTCAGAAAGTATCAGGTGGTGGAGGTGGAATTTAGGCTTAATCCTTTTTGCTTTGGGAAATCAGTAGAGGTTAGTTTTATTCAAATAGTGCTGATCCTTAGAGATTATACTTGTTTGGGAGTTAATTGGGTGGAGTTACAGAAAAAATGGTTGTGTAATGCATGGAACCTACTGCAGAATTTCTTGATATGAGCTATGCCACAGTGATTATATCTGTATTCTTATTTTCTGCAGTTTCTTTTGAATACCTGTATGTTTTGTTTTTAAATAAGTACTCATGACTTACAAATAACTCTGTTTTGGAAATGCCTGTGTCAAGCCAGGTATAGTATGCAAATACTGCATTAATGTCTCTTAATTATTGTCTTAACTTACTGAACAATATCCAAGTAAGTTTAATGTATTACTATACATTTTGGTAAAATAAGTTACCTATGGAGTTCAGAGAGGTATCTTGTATGTTGAACTTTTTTACTCTGTGTTAGCGTTAACAGTAATACTTCTGTTAATGAAGGAAGGAGGAAGAAAGAAGATCTACTGGCAATTATTAGATTTAAACTAAAGTGTCAGAACAATCTTTTGCAGGAACTCTCTGGCTAGGCTAGTTCCTGTTTAATTTTCATAAATTTACAAGCACTAACAATGTTTCAGATCTCTCTTTAAATCTTTCAGGATGCTATTCGAGTAGTACTTGGAAATCTTGATAATTTATGCCCATTTACAACTGAACACTTGATCATATTTCCATGTATCCTTTTATTGGTGTACAATAACCTGAAACTGTGATTCATACAGCCAGTCAGACATCAGGACTAGATGCGTGTCTCTTCCCACATCATAGAGGGGAAAAAAACATGATGGTGCTGTCATGGGAGGTACATGCAATAAAATAGACACATGTAGTCATGTTTGAAAAGATACTGGGTACTATGTACTAGGAATGCAATCTGTTTTAATGGTTACTAAATTGGAAATAGGACAGCACTTGAAATCCCGAAAACATGGGAACAGTGTATATTTCTGTGGTGACCTATACAGTAATTAGATTGGGAACAAAGATAAATTGTAATAAATTTGGGAACAAAGATAAATTGTAACAAAGATAAATTGAAAAGAGTTGTTCATATCAGAGAACAGTCAGCACCAACAAGACATTTCAGAGCACAGAGAAGGGAGAAAAATATTAGCAACAACAATATAGAATCTAGACTGAGAAAAAGAATAAGCTTTGGCCAAATGGAATATACAGTAATTCGATTAGTAAGTATAAATATAGTCAGTTTAAAAACATATGGCCCTTTTAATAGGTATTGAGATATTTTTATAATAGAGTGGGAATATAATCTTCTGGTTTGAAAAATTCTGTTCCATATTCATGGCGAAACCTTCTAAAATTGTAAATTCATTTTGTGATGAGGTAAAAATACAGTGGAAATTATATTCAGGTAATATATATGCCTATATAAAGCAACCTCCTATGGTCGCTGAAGTTAAAAGTGCCAACTTTCTTATTTCCTCAGAATTTCTTCATAATTTCTCCCTTGTCCCACAAATACTTTGTGATCATTGGTTTGTTTTTTTCTGTCACATCCTCATGGTGTTGCCTTAGCCTCATCCCCAATCCATACCTGAGGCAGCTTAAAGTCATCCTTAGCTGTTCCCGTTTTACAGTGGGATTTTCCCTTTCTGTGGATATTTTTTCCTATGGATGTGATATGGCACCCTTCCCTGATTGTTTGTTTGCTGATGTGGTCTGGGGTTGGGACCCCCCAGGTCCTGTTGTCCAATTTAGGCTGTTTTGGACATGGCCCCTTCCCTCTAGTTCAAGGGGACTTCCCTTCACAATCATTTTGACTTGGCTTGCAGGGGAGATTAGAGGCATCTGCCTGCATAATATCTGAATGGTATTTTTGGTAGCAATTGCCTGATCTTACGCAAAGAGTGCTAGATATGGTTTTTGTTTGTTTTTTTCAAATGATGTTATCAGTATTTTGAAAGAGAGCTAGTCCTGTGCTACACAGAAGGTAGACAAAATGGGAAGAGTACCGGTTTTGGCCAGCTGTGGGCTGCTAGTTGTGCCACCACTGAGTGAAGACAGGTTTTCTGCTGTTCTGCTGGCACGGGGTTTCATGGGACTATATTTTTTTACTGTTTTTGTGACTTACTATTTCTGAGGATTCATGCATGAATGCTACAACTGTTGCCCTGTCCAGTCACTGCTTCTGGTACCATGTCTCATGTAGCTACAGTTCCTGGGGCTATTGGTGCAAAGCACCATGGTTATAGGTTGGCTTTGGTAGTGGGGTGCCAATTTGCCTTCTTAATTCCTGCTTTGGTAGCATTAGATGCCATGGTTACTATGGACAGTCACAACTGTGTTAATTTGGAAGTCTGCTCTTATGCTCATGTTCTCCATGGCAATCCAGCATCTGCTTCTAAATGCTGCTGGGGATGAAATCTGAAGTGGATTCCTTGGACATTTGCTGGCAGCATCACCATTGTCTTGCTGCACTAAACAAGGGTGGAGCTCATTTGTTTTCAGTCACTCCCTTCTGCTTCAACCCACACTCCCTACCTGTCAGCCAAGATATCTTTTAAGCACAGGTTTAGCACTCTTTCATGAGAATGTTATGCCTTTGTTCAGATATAGCCTGACTGACAGGTAACAGGCACAAAGGAGGGGCTGTGAGGACCATTTGGATAATTCCATCTCACTTCACTCTGTGCCCCTTCTTAGCTCCCGCTACCTATTAGATTGGGCAGCTTGACCAGTTTGAAGCATCCATCCAGATTCTGGCCACCATGCCCATCCCATGTTAGTAGAGTGATTGGTGATGGTTATTAATAAATAAATAGGTGTTCTTGTTAGTGTGGCAGAATAGCAGTTGAGAGTAGGGTAGTATACTGGGCTAGCAGACTTTTGTGCCAGCTCAGGGATCGGTGAATAACATTTCAACTCAGCTGTGAGAAAGAGCCCTAAGCATTGCTTCTATGCTGGGAATAATCTTGCTTTCCTTTCCTGTTTTGTTCTTTTCCCAGTCATAGCTATTATTCCAGGAATTAACTACTAGAAAACCTGACCTGAAAAACAAGCTCCTAAAGTTGTGGTGCTTGGTGCCTCCGATCACCTGTGGAGTGAGATAACAGGAATAGTGTTGAAAGAGTGGAAACTAGAAATGAGACTTGTTTACATGACATATTGATAAGTTACAAAATTAAGGGTGTGTCATCCTTCAATTACTTCTCTAAATTACCTGCAATTAGATTCAAGTTTTTAACTTGATTTTTGTTGTTGTTGTTCAGTCGTTAAGTCGTGTCTGACTCTTTGTGACCCCATGAACCATATCGCGCCAGGCCTTCCTGTTCTTCATTGCCTCGCTGAGTTTGCTCAGTTTCATGCTCATTGATTTTTTTAGCTGCCCTGAAATGTTTTTACAACAAATAAATTAGATAGACTTTCAGTCGTTAAGTCGTGTCTGACTCTTTGTGACCCCATGAACCATATCGCGCCAGGCCTTCCTGTTCTTCATTGCCTCCCTGAGTTTGCTCAGTTTCATGCTCATTGATTTTTTTAGCTGCCCTGAAATGTTTTTACAACAAATAAATTAGATAGACTTCAGTAGTTTCTATAATGCAGAATAGGGATGATATGCAAATATTTATCTTTCTGTCTACTTTATATGACTATTAATGGTAGGTATTGTCACTATATTTTTGCTACCATGGGGTTAAGTTGAATATAGGATACTAACAATAATCATACAGTTTTCATATTATTCTTTTTACTGCCTGTATTGCATCTTAAGAACACTGTTCAGATTTAAATAAGTGGGAAAGAGTGTCAGATTTGAGGTTTATGCACGGTGAGGTATTTCTTACTCCATATCCATATGTCTGCACTATTTATGTCGAATTAAATTCATGCAAGCAAAACAAGTATGAAGGTAAGTTCAGAAGTTTTTTAAAAAGTTGATTTTACCTCTAGCATATCTGATATTCCAGGTCCATAAAAATGCTGAGAAATTGTGTGTGAATAAGTAATGGGTATTGTATATCATACTGTTTTCTCTGCATTTCAACTGAAATTAAATAACTTGTATTAACAGTTCCCACTTTCTCATAGAGCAGATTATATCTCAAGTCTGGGATTTTCATCAGTAGCAAGACTGTAAATTTCTACTGAAAATATCTTCTGTCCATAAGCCAGACACAAGTTATTGAATCTAAACTTTGTGTGCTACCCTATCCTTCATTCTACGGACCTTACTGAAAAAAAAACACACACACACAGCAAATTTATTCTCAAAATTTTAATATTACAACATTCATATTATAGTGAGAGTTCTCATAAGACATATAATATAAATACAGTGGTACCTCGGTTCACGAACTTAATTCGTTCCACGACTCTGGTCGCAACCCAAATTGGTCGCGACTCGAATCAAATTTTCCCATAAGGTTCAATGTAAATACGGTTAATCCGTTCTGACCCCTCTGAATTTGGTCGCCAA